GCTGGGAGTGCAAGAGTCCTGGAGCCACCAAAAAAGCGGTGCCCAAAAGGGTTGGTCCCTTGGCAGAGTGATGACCGTGTTTTTCTGGGACAGCTGGGGAGACCTGAGGTCTTACATCCACCCGGGGCTGAGGGCTCTTTGCACCCAAGCTGAGGTCTAGGAGCTGGTTTTTTGGAAAATACAGTTTTAGTACATCTTTACACAGTTAAATGGAGGTTTTGTGGTTTGTTGTGCTTGATTTAGATGCCTATATCCAATATTCCACCTAAGGTCTCTGTATTTTTTATGGATTATTTTTTTAAGTAACAAGTGTTTGTGGGTAAGGGTAGCCTGATTGAATTTTTCAGTGTTTTTTATTAGCTATGTCTGAAGTGCAGGTTTGTTATAAAAATAGTACGTCTGATACTTGTGTTTAAAGTCCTTCCTATGAGAACATGGTAATGAAAGACTGGGCTTCTTTCCAGTACATATTCACGTTCCAAATCTGAAGTGGCTTTGTAGAAAAAGAATTTCCATGAATTCTCCATATCCACTAACACCTAGGAAACAAAGTAACAAATAGAAACCACCAATTTCCATAATTTTTAAGACTGTAAAATTAGAAATAAAGATAGGATGCATTTGAAATGAAAATGAAAAGATAATTTAAACAAAATATCTGCTAAATCTCTTTGGAATAATATAATTATTACTTACCTTAGATACCAGCTGGAAAGAATTACAGAGAAAGGGTTTTTTTATTTTTTTCTTTTCTTTGTTGTGTAGTGTCACTTGCAGGGGAAGCCTACAACAAGCAAATTGAAACAGTAAGAAGGAGCTAAAATATCTAATTAATTTTTTAAAATATTTGTTATCTCTTTGTACTTTAGGAAAACACACACTGTTAGAATCCTGATTTTATAGTCAGTGTGGAAAGTCCACTTGCATCTGCAAGGAAAAGTACGTTTAGATCGCATAGTTACGTGTATAGTATAGCAAAAATAGGAGTCTGTTATAGGTCTCAGTTTCAGAGGTTTAAATCTCGGAAAATAATTTCTTAAACAAAAGCAAATTATCTTAAAGAGTTTCCAGTCCAGTTCTGGAAATATATTTACATAAACATTCAATTTGTGGCTGGCAGTTTTTTTTATTGTAAGAAGTAAAAAGTGTGCATCTTAGGAAACCTAATTATTGCAAAAGCTGCTGTAATACTGCAATTCTGGGGTCAGTTCTCCTAAGTTCAGTTCAGAGAAGTGTTCCTATTCCCAAATCATTTATTACTTAAGAACCATCAAAACTGGTAGAAAGTTTTTCACCGCAAGAATTCTCGCTCGCATGCATGGTTGTGAGAAAAAGACACAAAGTAGCCTGAATACAGACTGCTCCGCTCCCAGTCCTGAACCAATGCAGCTTCCATCACTCCCAGTGCTCCAGTTACTCTGCTTTGTAGTTACCGCCCTTTCCTTGGGTTTATATTTGGGCACTATATTATTTGCTGAAAATCCCACCTTCTTTAAAATTCTTTTCACGTACCTAAGCCTTAGTTTCTGCTGTTGTGCAAATAACTATGAAAACACAGACTGAATCTAAACAAATACCTCTTCAAGTCAGTAAACAACCGAAAATTATAGTTGCGAAATGTGAACGTTTACACTTTCTACTTCATTTGTTTTTTAGAAACAGTAAAATGCGTCAGATACCCTCTACACACCAAATCTTCTGGTTTCTCCTCTGACATGAGCAATGTACGTCTTCATTGTAAAGATTTGACACTATAAAAAGCGGTTTTGAGTTTCAAACTGAGGATACAGGGAGGGTATTATAAGTTTAATTCCGTGTAGAAATTATATGTTTGATGGAACATCTGTGTGAAACAGCCTGGGATCCTAAGAAAACAAAGGTTTACTTATTCTTCCCCTCTTCTGTTTTCAATAGTGCTAAGCATTATTTCAGGCACATTGCTGTCCTTTACCTGTTTTCTGTGATAAATTTTCCTCATGGTTTGTGAAAACGGGTGGTTCCCAGAGAGAGCGAGCCTCAGATGCCCTCACTGATGGACAAGTTACAAAAATATCTCGGACCCGTTATTTTGCATGAGAGTCAGAGAACGTGGGAGCAAGCACCATGGGAGGCTTCATCACAACTTCTGCTGTTTATGGAAATATTTTTAAGTTAAAGACTGTTCCGTTCTTTAATTGAAGCTCTAAGAAAATGTACATTTTGCCAGGATGGAGCCCCCAAAGTCCAATTAGATATCAAAAAGAAAGCTGTTCAGCATGAGCTCCTGCAATTAGCAAGAGTTGGGATGTAAATCCAGCTCGTCGGATCAGGGACTTGAAACTTTTCCTCGGTGACACAGAAATTAGAGGATGCAGGAGGAACTGAGGTTTGGGAACAGGGAACACAGCGCAGGGGACACAAGCACCGGCACAAAGACCCTGACTTTTTGACAAATGGTGGTGTGTTTCCAGTGCAGTCCAGTTTAGGACTTCTGCAAATTGGGGATTTCTGTGTGGATTGGAAACAATTTCTGTGCTGTCCACACGTCCGTAATCGAAATAGAGGAGACTGAAGTATTTCTCCCTGCTGACCCTTTCTGACAGTTTTTCTTGCCTATAAAATAATGATGCTGGTTGGGTGGGGGAAGAGGGAAAGATGGCTTCTTTTTTTTTTCCTTCTTTTTTTTTCCTCCCCCAAGGCTGATACTGATTAACTGTAAAAGACAAACCCAGTAGACGTAGGTTTTTCGATAGAGTTTATCCGTGTGCCATCTGCTGGTGATGCAAATCAAGGGAACGTTTCAAAGTCGTCTGGTTTTCCTGTGGCGCTGAACAGACGCTTCTCCAGCTGAAGACAGTAAAAGCAACAGGTTTCTGAGCGTTTCTGATCATCTTTACCCCAGGGCAAACTCATTTAAGTCACCTGAAGAGAATCAACTCTAATTATAACAATGTCTCTGCTTTTCTAAGATGCCCGTGCTTACCTTTCTGTGATTCTGTCAGATAAAAACAAGTTAGAGATGATGTTGTATTTATCTATCAGTATCACACGTGTCTCCTTCTGGAATTATAACCTAGCTCTGAAATGCAGAAAATACTGGAATATTTAGCTTATTTTGAGCAACTGAATGAAACCCTTCTGATTCTCAGGTGTCTGCTACAATCCAGATTTCTGGCATATACATGGAGGGGGGAAAGTTATCATGAGGACAAACCTTTATCAACTGAAATGTTATAATCTAACATTCAAGTCCTCCCAAAGACTTCATTTGGTAAACGTGTGAACGTTGTCACTTCAGGAGGTCCTGGGTGTCTGGGTGGACTGTAAATACCACTCACGTGTAATAGTGTATGGTAGAGAAATACTTAAACAGCAAAGCAAGCCATTATTGACAAAGATTTGCAGCCATTGTGGAGACAGTCATTCTAAATCTAATAAATTCTTGCTGTATGTTTGGAATTTAAATATTTTAAAAATAATTTAGCATGGTTTGTCCCTATGTATGTTTAAATCATAAATAGAGATTAGGAAGAATTGTACCACAAGGGAAATTTAAAATGAGCCATTTGAAATTGATACAAACAAGCAGGGGTGTTGTCCTTTGGCTCTAAAGAAAACAGTATAAAGATAAAACAGTTACAGGTCAGGGCTGAAAAATCTGCAATAGCATATTTAATTTTTTTTTTCCTTCCTAAAGCTGGTCTGGGAACTTCATAGCAAAGAGTAGTGGGAGCATGATTATTGCAGACACCCCCTCTAGTACTGTAAAGCCACAGAAGTCCATACTGTGTAAAGGCTGCCTTTTCTAATTTTCTAATTCAAAATTGCCTTGATATTTCTTAGGTTTCATAAAAGTGGGGATTGAGTTTATTGATCCAGATTTAGTGTAATTTCACAACAAGGTCCTGAGAAAGTACTCTGCAAATTTCCACCTATGCTGGCGATTTTAATTTTGTTGCTTCCCAAACTAATCCTAGTCACTTGAAATTTATACAGTCTTTTTATGAAGCCTTTGGGGAAATGATACTAAAACATTATTAAAGGAACGATTTGTTTTGCTGCAATCTCTACTAATTAATAGTCAGGCAGCGTGTTAACCATCTTGTGCAACATGCTGTTGCACTTAAAGTAGAGCTACAGAGTGTAGTAGTTACATCTGTAATTGCAGCAGTACTTTAATAGTCATTATATCCCAGTGGGAAATTGGAAAAAAACAACTGGAAAGCCAGGTGCTGGGAATGCAGGAGGTAAGAAGCCACGAGAGGGAGAATTTAAGGGGCTTTTAACGTGTGTGTGGAACAGCTTCTTGCGCTACCCAGTCAGTTTGTAATGATGTGAACCTTTGTTGACTCAGCTGAAGGCCACTGAGAAGAGATTCCCAATCATCCTGGGCAGGTCCAGGTCCCTTCTTCATCTGCTGGAGGTGGCCATTGAGTTACTGCCCCAGAGCTCTGGTGCCTCCGATTGCTAGGAGACGCTTGCGTGGCAGATTGCAGATCACAGGCTCCTCAACTGACAGATGAGAAGTAGGATGGGAATGAGAAGACCATATGGACCTTGATAGTAATAATGAATTTGTAGAAATTGGCTGCACTGATTTATAATTGATGTTAAATAGCGGTGTGTTTACTCTGTTAAAGAAAAATTGTTTATTTTGCTTTACGTTTTCAGCAGGGTCTTGGAAACCTTAAAGGAATGCTTTGCATACACTGGTATTTGTAGTAATAGGATATTGCCTGTTAAAATTTGCTCTAAAAATGGTGCACATTCTTAATTCAGGTGCAGATTTTTAAATTGTAGGTTGCATTACAGGTGTATTATCTTAGTGTTTAGATTGTTACTTAACTACACCATTATGCTTCAGTAGTAGTATAACATTTAAATGTGATTTTTTTTCTCTATGAAGAAGATCCACTACATTCGCGAGGGGGTAAGACTCTCTGCTTTATCTTGTCTGTCCAAATATGCGTTTTCTTGTTTCTAACATTTGTTTTGTTTTGTTTCATACTTTATTAAAGTGAGTGAATACCCAGCTGTTGGCATTCCCAGATGTGGTCCAGCAAGTCCATTTAAAGGACACTTGAGTACCAAGAGTAATGGTAAGTAATGCATGTGCTTTTATCCGAAGGTTGATGTGGTTCCTTTTATGTCAATTCATTGATTTTATTATTAAAATGTTTTTTATAATTAAAATTTTTGCATTGAGCTCAATTGGTAAAGTTTAAAAGTACTTAGATTTAGTGTTGATTACTGAAAATACTTTTGAGAAGTGAGTTTTGCCTCGCCTGTACTGCTAGCTAGGAACAGTTCGCAAGATAGCCAGATAGATAGAGATGTCACATCTATATTAGCTGGGATATAGATATGGTTACTACTTTAAAGAACCCTTGAGGTTAAACATACTTCCTTACAGTCAGTAGTTTACAAGAGCTGGTGTGTGTTTCTGTGCCATATTGCCACCTCAAACCCTTTTTTCAAAAGATGACAGAATGGAGAAACAGGGAGTTTCCATGCTGAAGTTTTCATAGTCCAACTTCAGCCACTTCTGTAGCTATTGATTAATGGCTCAGTGAGGAAAAAAAGGAGAGAGAAAGACGTGATGTGATAGTAGCTGCTAAATAAAAATGCCTGCTATTGGGCAAAGAAGTAAAGCACACAGTAATTTAAAGTTTGTGGCTTTGAAGTGCGGTTAATAACTGTTCAAAATTTGAGCATTCTTGTGCCTGCCTGTGTAATGTTTAAATGTATTTTAATCTTAACAGCTTTTTGCATTGACTCCTCCCGAAGTCTAACCAGCCAGTACCTGATCAGAGATCACATGGTGTTTCATTATAACAAAATCCTTTCAGCCAAAGGTAAGAATGTGCATGCATGAATGAACTTCCTCCTCCCAGATTTACGTCATTCTTTCAGAATAGGCTTATATCAAGGGAATGAATTGGATTGTAGGAAGTACAGTTCTCTTTCGTACTCAGGCTGATGCAGCCAGGAAGTATGGCTGCTACTTAATAATACTTTTGTATTTAATATCTGCTTTAAAGAGTGATACACTGGGGCTTTGGGTTCTGCCAGGGTCCAGCCTCACAAATATATGGTCATCTCTCTACCATGTAACATGCTCAGTATCCTCAGGTGTGCATTAAATGCTATCAGCACAAAGTGTAGAGAAACCTTTTGTAAGAAATTTTTATTTAAATGATGATTCTTTCTCCAAATATGTATTTCACTTTAACGTCTTTATCTTAAAAATTCTCTTACTGTATTAATATCAATCTTATACTTTGAATACACAGTAACAAGCATATTTTAAAATAGAGGAAAATTAATGTTCACTAATTAAATTAGTCTTTTTTCTGTGTTGGTTTATCACTTTTTTTCTAGCCATCACAAATACTAAATAAATACTAAGTCACATTTATGTTTTCAGCAGCCGTAGACTGTTCAGTGCCCAAAAGTAGGTTGACCAGCATCAAACGTAAGTATTTGTGATACATTTATTCTGCAAAAGTTTCTGTAAAACTAAGCAAAATAAAAGAGCCAGTGGAATAGAAGAGTAACAATAGAATATAACCCTTAATAAAGCATTCATGTATCTCCTGGTTCTTCAGCTTTCATATACTGCTCCAGCTGTTTGTAGGAATCTGCAGTGAATGTAATGTGAGAGAGATGGACCTAGTCTGTTCTAGTGATTAGTTGTACTTAGGATTACAATTAATTTTGCTTAGGATTCTTTTCATCCACACAGTTAATGGAGCATGTAAGGAGAATTTCAGCATTTTCTCTCTCCTTTATTCTGATACAATGTGAGCTTGAAGAGAGCTTAGTAGTACAAGGTCAAGAGGAATTTTGGGCATGTGGGCACCTGGGGACTGGAACTGAAACTTCTGGTTCCATTTCTCAGAAAACAGAGCCAGGATTAAACCACAGTGACTTTTTGGGGGAGTTGTCTCATTTCTTTATGCTCTTTAAAGATATTGGTACTGTAACCTTGCTTCATAGTGCTAGCTGAAGAGCAGTACTTTCAAATAATTGATTTATAGAATATTAAATGAAGCGTATTAGTCAAAGGGGATAAATAGCAGCTGCTTGTTAAAATAACAAAGGTATATTTCATTTATCTATCTGTCTCTTTCACTAATGCAATTAAAGGATGTTCTTTTTCCTCCAATTCAATATTTAGTTACAACTGCTGAGGTACGGGAAAAAATTAAAGTATTCTTTTAGGATGGAAAGATAAATCTTCTGACGACAGAACGTTTTGTGGCAGAAAGACTCAATTGCATTATAATTTTTTCAGTATTTCTGCATAATGGGTTGAGACTGAATTAAGCAATAAGCTGCACCAGGATCAAGGATGCTGTATGTTGGCTTGCCTTTTCCTGCTTTCAAAAGGTGCAGCACAAGCAGCAAGAGTATTGCAGGGGTATCTAGGTTCTGCAGATTGCAGCAGGAATTTCAGAGCACCTGTTCTGCAGTCATCTGAAAAAAGTCATCTTCCTCATGCTCCAGCTCTACCAAGACTTGCTTTGAAACAAGCACGAAAATGTAGGGTTGGTGTAAGAAGAAAATTGACACCTACGTGTTTGTGTAATAAAAACCTCTTTCTGCATCTGCTAGAATCTTCCTTAGGTTCCCTAATTACGATGACTCTTCCACACCTTTTCAGGTCTTGGGTCTTTCTCTACACCAACAAACGCCCATTTATTTTAGAGTCTGCTGTCTTTACGGATAAAATGCTTCAGAGCTGATAGCTTGTGAGTTTAACATCAGAATGAGTTTCCCTGAATGATGAGTTCATTTTGGGAGGCAGCGACAGTGCCTTAACCTTAACAGCTAATTGTCATGACACTGGTAGGTGTGCTCTGTAGCGAGGAAATTTCCATTTCAGATGGCAGGGCTTTGTGCAATATGTTTCTCTTTCAGTTCATCTTACTCAGACGGGGTGTCTGACACTGTCACTCTGACCTGCTCACAGACAGAACCTTAATCTCCTGTGTAGGGTGTGACAGAAACATTTCACCTCTGTTGCTGCCTTTGTTTTTACCCATCTGTTTGATAAAATTGGTACACTAAATCCTCACTAAATTGCGCTTTCACCTGTTTTCAAACTGGGCTGGAAAAAGCTGCTGCTGTGTTTTATCTTATTAGAACACTCATGTAACCATCACAGCCCTACAAGATGTTTCTTGTTCACAAAAGAAAAAAAAATAAAGCTAGCAAAAAAAAAAAAGCCTTTGATTTTAAAAAGAAAATCCTTGATTTATCCACTGTTAGTCTAGCCTAAGGCTTGGGAGTGCTAATTGTTACTTAGCTGAAATTGATTATATTCCCGGAGCTAGCTCATAAAGTGAAGCAGAGCATCACAGCTCAAGGATTGGGATCCTACTCAGTAGCACAGGATTCATTTGGAAGAAATGTTGGACTGGCTTCTCGGTCTCCCAGAGCTGAGGATCCGCTGTGATTAGAGCTTTTTATCCTTAGATTTAGCAATGTTCTAAAGTACAGCTTGTTTGCTTGATGTTTTGCACTGAGAGGAATTGTGCAATTATAAAGTGACAATAAATTTGCCATTTTTTAAGATCTGTTTAACAAAGCAATAAATAATGTTGTATTTTTTTTCCATAAAAGTGCCTTCTCAAGGCAGTATTATGTCTCTGCCCCAGTTTTGAGGTTTTATTTCGTGAAGTGCTTCATGTTCTCTATTAAAAATGAGAGTGCTGAGTGAAAAGATAGAAAGCAAAGTAATAAAGCAAACGTATATAGACAATATATTTTTATTAGAATATGCCTCTATGTGCTGTTTTTATTTTGCAATGCTGAAAAATGTTACCGATTACATTTTCATCTTAAATTGTCTGCCTAAAATGCTACAAATACTTATTTTTCTTGCAGTACAAGATGCCCATTCTTTTTTCTGCAAGAGCAAGAGAAAAGATTTTTGCCAATTCAAACACTGTTAGGATTAGGACTGAATTTACTTGAATGCATTTATCCTGGTAATTCTGGTTTAAAAGGCGAATTTTGGGATAAAAGTGGTTTAGATGCCATAGTTGAAATTGTTGGTTTGTGATGGTCAATGGCAAAAGTGTCTCAACTGCAGGAGGTCCAGGATTTCTGGGTATGTGTTTGTACCAGATCCTTAAGATTATCCTTTCTTATTAAAAATCTTTGAGGATTAATATCTCTACTCAATGTGCGCCTGAAACTGATATTTTTTCTGACCTGCTTTCTTCATCTGTTTTGTCACCTGACTGAGCTCACCTTACAAACAGATAAGAAACTCTGCCACTCAGGCTGAAATGTGTGCAGCGTTAGCAAAGGGGTAATTCCATAGGGCACATCTACTCAAATTCTTCATTAGTGGTCTTGTTGCCTTCAAGGTATTTAAGACTAGTCCCTAGTCCAGTATCTGCACTAGTCTTATAAACTCTAGATGTTTAGAATGAAATTCCACATTATTTCAATTTATTTCATTCCTAAAATTAGAGTGGTTGTTTTTTTTCCTACTGTTCTATGCGTTGTTTATCAAGAACTACAGATTTCTGTAGTGTAATAATAGTGTGACCAAGTGGTAGGTGTTCAGGTGTTGAGCTCAGTGCCAGACATCGTTTGTAGGGGCTCTGGCAATCCACTGGAGAATAGCTTTTCTTCCTCTGTCTTTTATGAAACAGATTTTGTGGAGATGAAGGCCAATAGCTCAGGCAGGAAGAGCACTGAAAACGTACTGAAGAAGAAAGTAAGGGAAAAGGATTTTTAAAATAATTTCAAGCCAGTTTCTTTTTTCTTGATGGAGATGGGACACACCGTGTGTCCAGGCACAGTTGCAGCATCAATATGACTGAGTATTGGGGGACTCCCTGGCGTAGAGGGGTTTACAGCTTAATTTTTCCAGCAGTTCTGTGCCTGTCATTGCCTCAACTGAAGCATATTATTACTTTTTTGTTTTTGTATTCCTTCTCTTACTGCTTATCACATCCCAAGTCAGGTTTCCATTCCCCCTCTATTTCAAAAGAGATTTGGGAAGGGGAGTAAATTTTTGGTTTGAAATGCTAAGATTTATTACTAGCATAGAGTTACAAACCAGAATTCCTGCAGATAGTGTTCAAAAACATCCCCTGAAAATGTGCTTCATGTACTGCTAGAACAGCAGGTGAGTATTTCCCTTTGGGGCTGTTGCCATGAATCAGTCGTTAGTGTTTAAGAATTAAACCTGATACTGTAGTTGGCATTCTCCCTGGCCGACTGAATGTGTTCTGTCCTTAAAGTGGATTTAGTTTCCACTGTTCTTTTCCTGGTATCTTCGCTGGCAGCAAAGTAGGCAAGCTGCCATGCCACTGGGCTAGCAGGGAGCATGTTCTCCTGTATTAGATCAGCCTTATTGACTTAAAATAGTTGTTAAAATGTGAAACTTCTTGAAATGTGAAACTTCTATGTTCAGAATTACTCCAAGCACGTTGATTGATACCGGTGGCCATTAGAAGCCTGTGGTTGTGGAATTTGTGCCAGAAAACTTGACAAAAGCTATGCCAAGTAAGACAGCTGCTGCTACACATGCCTGGTTCCTAACAGTACTGACTTTTCAACCCATATGTGTAGAGGTTTTTCCACAGGGCATATTGATAGTACAGCCTGAACCCAGTGATTAGTGTGCTTGGGAATGCAGGTCTCTTTGATGCTGAAGAGAGGGAGGGGGAGAAGGAGAAGAAGAAGGAACAAAAAGGCATTCTGAGAAGTTACCCACCAGAAATCTATTTTAGCCTGATGGAACTTGAATACTTGAGAAGGGGGCTGAGAGATGGGGGGAGACAATTCAGACTGATCAGTTACATTGTTTTTCTACTATTGGGGTGTTAGGTTCATGTAGGCATGTCAAGAAATACATATTCCTATATAATTCTGTATTTAAATTCTAATCTTTCATATGATCACATATTTTACATTCTATCTGTCCTTTATACAAAGCTGTCTTCCTTATTTTGTTATTCCTGCTGTTTTACAGGAAGCTTTCACAAAATCTCTCCATTGATTCTTAACTTTTCTGTTGTGTCTTGTCCTTACATATGTACTTCTGAAAATGAAAGTTATAAGCAACTAGTACAAGTTCTTTAAAGTCAAACATTCAGCTAATTCTACTGTGTTGTTCAGAGATCAAGTATGTCTTTGGAAAAATGCTCTAGTATATTTATCAAGCCTGAATTTTTGGAGAGCAGGAGAATCTGCTGTGTAAAAAATCTGTATGAACCTGTACTTTTAACTGTAGTAATTTTACTTCTTGCAGAAGTTACTTACTTTAAAATTTCTTCTACAGAAAAGTTTTCTATTTTGTTTTATAAGAGGTAATTAATTTTAGTTATGTATTCAATACATCAAAATTACATTTTCCATAGTTTGTATTTGCGACATTAGCTCATCTAGTCTGACATCATGAGTCAAGCAGACCAAAAATTTAATCCAGTTGTGCTAATATGGATATCA